TAGTTTTAGGGAAATGCGAAGTTTAGCTCAGGATAGGAAAGAGTGGAGGTACGTGTCCAACCAGTCTTAGGACTGATGACCTTATGATGATGATGATGATTCCAATATGATGGTAAGAGACGTTAAATTGGTGGGAAATCCCGAAAAAAATATATTTTTATATATAACAATAGCATCGACAAAAATGTTTCAAATAATTCGAATCTATATTAAAAGTGAGGGTTCCTATTTAAAATTTTGAAGTTGCTATCTGCCTCATTCATTTGGATGGTAGAATCAATTTCCATATCATTCGATAACTTTGTCAAAAATATCACGTGAATGTTTGATCAATTCCAAGATATTTAACCGTTTCCACACTTTTTAGACACCTTGTATAACTAGCCAACGACATTAACATTACAATAAGACGTGGAAGAAATTATGCAAGAACTCTTTCCACTCGAGTGGATAAACAGAATTTCACTTCTTATGGAAGTCGTACTCGTTAATCTATACGTGTATGGTATACGTATTTGTGGGTATGAAGGCATGGCCACTCTAATTCAACTAAATAGATACAATTTTAAAAATCGTCTGGAATTCATTCAACTGGCAACTTTATTACATAATAATACGTAACAAAAACGTACGCACTTTATGAATTGTTCCTCAGCGTACAAGGTGAGACATTTTGATAAAAAAATAAAAAGAAACAGATATTGTTAGAGAGAAAAGAAAAAATGCAGATTATAATTGGACGAGTTTTTGCTGAAAAGGACCAACCCACAAATTTTTAGAATTGAGGTTTTTAAATAATCTATATATTTATAAATGAAAGTCGTTTTAGTTACACTATTTATAACTCAAGAACGGATGAACCGTTTTGGCTGAAAATTGGTGGGAAGGTAGCTTAGAATCAGGAGACGGATATAGGATACTTTTCTTTCCACGGGAAAAACGTAACTGACATGGAATGACAAAACGCAACTGACAGCAAAACGAAAAATTTATCAGTCAAAACATCAGTCTAGCCGTTCATTTGTTAAAAATGCTACAACAAAACGCAACTGCCATGGAATAACAAAACGCAACTGATACCTAAATGTAATGTTGACTATGGTTAAGTCTGGTATTTTATTTATAATCAGATTTAACTGAAGCTTGGCTTTAATGCTTTTCCTAACAAAATTAGGGATATACATACCTATTTCAATATTTTACAAAATTCTACTTTTTTAGGAAGCTGAAAGGGGTTTGCAAAGATTGCATGTTTCTTTTTGGTCCGATTTACTTGAAACTGGTTAAAAAATTCAATGTCTGTTGGGGGGGGGGATGAGTGGTGAAGAGGAGTTGCAATGTTTAAATGGAACATATATTATTTGTGGTCAGATTTACTTGAAACTTGGTTTTAATGGTCTCTCATTTAATTTCCGAAAGACATATCTCGATATTTTAAAAAATTCAATCTCCAAAGGGGGGGAGGTGTTGCAATTGTTGTTAGGGACATAGTTTATTTGTCGTTGAATTTATTTGAAACTTCGTACATATGCTATTTGATATTATTATTCAAACGAAAAGAGGTTGCAAAGTTGAAATTAAGCAAATACGTGTTTTGGCAATTTCTAAAAATCAACCCTTAAGGGTGAAATGTTGCTACGTTTGTTTTTGAAATCTAAGATGGCGACATTACATAAAATTAAAACGTTGTAAGGAAGAATTGGGAGTTAAAAGGATTTATGGAGAAACAATATTAATTTCTGCGAGCGAAGCCGCGAGGAAAAGCTAGTAATTTATAAAGAGCCATAATGTTTCTTACAAAAAAGAACCAATCCTCATTTTAGTACCTATTCTATATTGTCAATTTTTAGAAGTTTTGAATTATCCAGACAACGTTAGAGAAAGGTTGTTTGATGTCACCATATTTTGAACTTTACAACCCTACCTTCAAAAATACTCCAATCTGTTAGGCGAAATCTAAGGCAATTAACGAAGTACAAAATAAATTTACACTTTCAAGTGAAAAACCATTTGAACATATTATTTCGAAGTTAAATAAACTTTTGTTCATTATATTTGCAGGTTTTCCACTGTTGTGTTTGAAACTCCATTGCTTTAGAAAATACTGATTATTACTATGTTTACCTAAGATTTAAAATTGTGGCATTGTATTTAAATTGTTGACTTAGACTCTTGTATTGCCGTTCTAGAATGACCTTATATATTGGTACGTTATGTTTTTTTTTTAATTTACTGTAAATTAGATTGTCTTACAAATCTCATAAAAATATATGTATCTACTACACATATTGTCAGAATTCAGGAATAGTCAGTAGGCGCCAGGTCAGGAGTGGCCAACCAAAATGGTCTTTCGAGCCGCATATAAAATTATATATATCCCCATATTAGATTTAGACCCACTGCAGACTATAAACATTTTTTTAACTCATTAATAAAGCATGCAAGATTTGTCATATATTTATACCCAAAAATTTTTCGAGTCTCTCGTTCAGAGATTCGAGTCTCTCGTTCAGAGATTTGAGTCTCTCGTTCAGAGACTGGATACGAAATGAGGATCTCTCTATGAGCGACTCGAGTCTCTCGTTCAGAGATTTGAGTCTCTCGTTCAGAGACTGGATACGAAATGAAGATCTCTCTATGAGCGACTTGAGTCTCTCGTTTAGAGACGCTAAACAGTTTTTTTGACAGTCTCTCGACAGTCTCTCTCAGTGCCACCAGAGACTCGATGAGAGACGGAGACTCGAGAGACTCTGAGAGACTGAACATTTTTATCTCGTATAAGAACTAGCTTTTGCCAGCGGCTTCTCTCCTAGAAATTAATATTGTTTCTCCACCCTTAGAACGTTTTAATTTTATGTTATGTCGCCATTTTAGATTCCAAATACAAACGCAGCAACAACATTTCATTCTTAAGGATTAATTTTTAAAAATTGCCAAACACGTAGGTATTTGGTTAATTTCAACAATGAGCAACCTTCGAGTAAATCCGAGTACAAACAAAATATACCCCATGGAAACGTTGCAACTTGTTTTCTTTTTTCATTTGATTAATAATATCAAACAGCATATATACCAAGTTTCAAGTAAATAAAGGACGTCCCAAACAAAAATTGCAATAACTTTTTACCCCCCCCCCCTTTGGAGGTTGAATTTTTTAAAATGTGAGGCCATTAAGACCAAGTTTCAAGTAAATCTAACGACAAATAATATATGTTCCATTTAAACACTGCAACTCCTCATCACCATTCCTCCCCCCCATGGGAACGGGATAAAAAGTATGCTATGTCCGTCTTCTGACTGTAACGTACCTCCCCACCAATTTTCAGCCAAATTGGTTCAGCCGTTCTTGAGTTATACATAGTGTAACTAACACGACTTTCTTTTATATATATACAGATGTTGTTTTAAAACCAATGTTAATTTTTGAAAATATAGTTGCCCAAATAATTAATTTTTTTTAATACATTACATTTCACCACTTCGGCCACTTTAAAATACCATAATATTTTGTAAAACTGTTATATAGTATCCATAAATTCATATTTAGGTTACTGATACAAAGTTACTACATCCAAATTGTTTATTTAAAACTGCAAGCTAACGCCTACATACTTATTTACTGTGTTAGTAGGTCAATTAGCAATCGTTTTAATAGAGGAATCAGTAATTATAAGCAAACGGAGAAGTCGAGAGTCGCGAATTGGATTCAAAATCACGAAGATGCAAGGTGGTGAGACGGCTTACCATCTTCAGTCATACTGTGATAGTTCCCTGCCATTTCTACATTCCCCAATTATCTAATAAAGCAATCTGAGATTATTATTATATGATTAATTAATTATAAAATCGCTTTTAATATAATATTAAAGTGATTATATGCCAAAAAAAATTAGGCAGATAAACTCGCTTCTTCGTGGCATGGTAGAAAATTCGCTTCTTCGATACAAAACTGTAATGAACCTTTCCGGTCGGAAAAATGTTCAAGGCGGGCCTCGGGTTGACCACCTTCGCGCTAGATATTCGTGTTATATTACATAATTACGTATTACACTGGAAAATAAAGATACTACTTTAAATAAGACAGGTTTAGTTGAATTAATTTTTATCAATTACAATATAATAAATAAAACAATACACATGTATCTAATTAAATGCGTCAATGTATACACAAAGACAAACTGATAATCTAAAATTACATCCGCCTCGGTTATAAACGCTTAACACATTCGTACGATCTTGATATTAATATGAGAATAATGTGAACGTTTCCGCAATAGCCAGCACTTACGCCTCCAGAGAGGAAAACCACTTTCTTTGTTCGAATTTCGGCAAGGTCGGTCAAGGATAATAGCGACATATGACGTCACTTCTTCTAAAAGAACTGCACTATAAAATCTCTGAGATATTTTCAATCTTCATCAGTTTCGTTTTTGCTCTAATCAAAGCAACACAGACCTACTTCGTTCAAAATGTTCAAGCTGGTGGTGTTGTCTGTATTTTTGGCCGTGGCTGCTGCTCGTCCTGGTTTCCTTCATGGAGAGGTTGCCGTTGCAGCTCCTGCTGTAGCTATTCCCTCTGCAGTGAGTCATCAATCCAGGACCGACATAATTAGCAGCCCTGTCGTTGCCACATACGCTGCTCCAGTTCACGCTGCACCCGCCGTTGCCGTTGAGGCTTACGCTGCTCCAGCCCATTTTGCTTATGCTGCCCCGGCTCCTATTGCCCTTCCATCTGCCGTAAGCTCTCAATACAGGTATGACGTTCACAGCAAACCACTGGTTGCTGCCTATGCTGCTCCAGCTTTGGCTTATGCCGCTCCATATTATCATGGTCATTACTGAAGCTTTAACGACTGATTAATTCTGTATTATTGTAATTTTTTGTATCAAATATATACGAAAACAAATAGCTTTGTTTAATTTTTATTATTATATCTATATGATCAAATTACATTGTCATACTTTTATGTATATTTAATACTTGACAGTCTTGAACTTTTATATACCTAATTATAGTAATTACTGTTCTCAAAAGTTCAGACTATCATATATAGCATCATCAAGAAATCGTCGTTTTATTTTTGGGAACTGCTTGAACTGAAAAAGACTTTCTTAGTTACCTAATTTCTCAAAAAAAAAATATATAACCAACTTGTGCTTTTAAATAGTGTAAAATGTATCCTTTAATCAGGGATTCAGAAGTGATTGCGTAGTTTGCAGGAGCATGTTCTATATACCAAATTAAAGGTCTCCGCGTTCTATGTTTATTGAAAGAAGTGCGGAACGACTGGTTACACGACTGACGAGTACGTGCCTAAAACACACTATGTACGAGGTCTGTTCAAAATATCGCAAATTTTGTGTTTTTTCAAAAATTATTTATTCATCAATATCTATTTTGTCCCCTTCAAAGTAATCCCCACCAGATATTATACACTTGTGCCAACGTTTTTTCCAATCCTTGAAGCACTCCTTCGATGCCGTCTCTACGTTACGATTGAGGAGATCGTTACGTAGAGTCGTCCTTTTACGGATCGCTTTAGTTTCGGGAACAAGAAAATCTCACAGAGGGCCAGATCTGGGGAATACGGTCTTTGCGGCATTATTAGTGTGTTGAGTTTGACCAAAAATTCGCGCACAAGCAACGATGTGTGAGTACAGGCGTTATTATGGTGCAAAAGCCAATTGTCTTTGTTGACCGTTCTACCCTGTGAAAAGAACTCATGATGCACTACGCCATTGTAATTGAATTGAATTAATTTCGGTCTTGGCTCGTGCGGCAGATTCCGCTGGTATGATTGAGATTTGGTTTCCACGTCCATGATTGGTCATCATTTATAACCATCTAAAGCAAATTTGGGTCGTCGCGGACAGAATCTAACAGCTCCTCAGCAATGTTAATGCGATGTTGTTTTTAGTCGAAATTGAGCAATTTTGGTACGAATTTCGCGGCGTTCCGTCTCATGCCACAATCATTGGTAAAAAAACGGTGACTCGACGATTATCCAATACCACTTCCTTCACTTCATCAATGTTTTCGTTTGTTCCTGACTCGAGCGTCCGGCACGCTCTTCGTCGTTCACATTTTCTCGGCCCTCTCAGAATATTTTGTACCACCGATAAACGTTGCTTTGATCCAAAGTAGGTTCACAATATGCCATAGTCAACATTCAGAATCCGTCCGCGCACTTAATTTTGTTTCTCACACAAAATTTGATACAGACCAGACAGGTTAGCTACGCCGGGATTCGTTTCAGCAAGTAGATATCCACACAAGTGAACCTTGTTGGAGCATACGTAATCCTAAAATGTAGCATCGTACTACAGATGGCGTTTACCGCGCCATTTGTGGTATTTTCTAAAATGCACTGTTAAGACAGCAGGTAAAAGTTGGTCTGTGTTCTGTCGGAGCTTTCTGCGACGCGCTGATGAGATCCAAAAAGATCGAAATCGCGTTCCGCGTCTGGCAGTTTCGACAGAATACAGACCACTTCGAATTATTTTATTCGATTATAGTAACGTACCTGTCACGTTGAGGTTAGCTACGCCGGGATTCGTTTCAGCAAGTAGATATCCACACAAGTGGACCTTGTTGGAGCATACATAATCCTAAAATGTAGCATCGTACTACAGATGGCGTTTACCGCGCCATTTGTGGTATTTTCTAAAACGCACTGTTAAGACAGCAGGTAAAAGTTGGTCTGTGTTCTGTCGGAGCTCTCTGCGACGCGCTGATGAGATGCAAAAGATCGAAATCGCGATCCGCGTCTGGCAGTTTCGACAGAAAACAGACCACTTCGAATTATTTTATTCGATTATAGTAACGTGGCTATCACGTTGAGGTTAGCTACGCCGGGATTCGTTTCAGCAAGTCGATATCCATGTATTTAAATGGACCTTGTTGGAGCATACATAATCCTAAAATGTAGCATTGTACTACAGATGGCGTTTACTACGTCATTTGCGGTATTTTCTGAAACAGATTCTTTGATCCATTTTTTGGAATAGGCAAAAATCGAAGACGAGCCAAACCATTGCAAGCAAAGCAGCTGTCTAAAATTAACTGAATATTCAACATGGCCTAATATGTTTAGATCCTCAGCAACTTCTCTTACGGTGATTAAAGGATTGGCCAATACTATTTTCTTCACTTCATCAATGTTTTCGCCTTTTGTTGACGTGTTCGGACGTACGACACGCTCTTCGTCGTTCACATCTTCTCGGCCTTCTGAGAACATTTTGTACCATCAATAAATGTTGCTTCGGTCCAGCTGTCAAAAATTAACTGTACATTCGACATGACCGAACTTGCCGGTATAAGTGAGAGACATGGGTACCAACATAACGCCATGAAAAAATCGAAAATCGAATATACGTAACCCGCGGAAATTCAAAGTTCGCGATTCTTTTTGAACAGACCTCGTATATCCTTTCGTGAAATTTATGAGTTACTGTAATTTTAATTTCTTATAACAATCGAAAGAAGGGTTTCTTAATTATACCTAACTAAATATGTAAGTAAACTTTTTAGTGTCCCATATATTGCGATGAATAGAAGTCTCAAACAGTCAATGTTGCCAGTGTCTGTCGATAGAAGTCTTACCAGATTTGTCAAATTCATATATGATTTCATTCGGAAGGAAATTGGTCAAATTAGGTCACACGCGATTTCTAGTACCGACTTTTAACTACAATTCAGTAACAATCGGATGAGTACAAATTATTCATGTATTCATGTCTTACAGAAGCAATTAATACTACTTTAATTATTGCCTAATCTATTATTATTGTTTACTATTAATTGTAGTTTTTATGACCCAATAGAACAGTGAAAGGAACAAACCAAATCAGTAAAAAAAAAACGGTTCTAGTGTTTTATAGCAATAATTTAAGAGGATTTATTTCATAACGACAGTAAAATAATTAAAATGGTAGAATGGTTATTATTTCTTAATGTTTCTTATTACAAGGAAGTCTTATTTTGGAAATATCTATATAATTAAGTTAACAACACTGTGAAATTACACACTGCTGGTATGTCCTTGTAATATAACTTCAGATTATACTTATATACTATTCAAATTTTAAGAAATTGCTCCTCGACATTCGCTTTTTGTAATGATTTGACCGTGGCCTCCAATAACCTTGTCTTGATCTCTCCTCTCAGTCGCTGTTGTTGAATCATTTACAAGAGAAGAAAGTGTCATTGTTTCAAAAGTACTTAAATAGTTGTGTCTGTGAAATTATGAATTTGATTTACAATTAGTTTAGTACTTAATCACTTTTATTTTAATAATATTCTTTATATACCTACCAAAAAAAATACGTAATCAATAGTGATATTAAATTTCAGTCCCATTTAAAATTGCTAGTTTTTATGTTATTAGAGGAAAATAGCTTAATTTTTGATGCTTTTCCTTATTTAACTTCTTGTGTATGAATATGAAACATATTTTAATGATTCTTTTTTACCCAGAATATGCCATTACTTCAATAAGGGTTCTTTAAATTGGATACCCTATCCAGAATTGAGAATCCCTATATTTAAACGCCAAAATCACTTACATTCACTTTATTTTTATCACTAATTGATAAATTTTCCCATGTTGTTTTAGCATTATCTCTATGGAACCCTCGTTAAATATAAATTTTGAAAATGTACATATTACTCTTAGTTACTTTTCTGTACTCTTGAAGATGACCGAGTAGGTCGAAACGTCCAATTGTTTTCTATTTATATTATTGTTGAAACATTCTTGTTATTCTTATTTTAATATTCAGCAAGTTCCTTTGCAAATACATTCAATACGTGAATATTTTGTGACTGCTTATTAAAAACGTAGCACTTACAATTTCTTCTTTCCCATTTTAATTGGAGTGTAATAATGGGCTAGTTTTCGAATAATAGTTCTTCCAACTAGTTCGCGAACTACTACATACAAAGCTTTCACAATTTTCCATAGAAAAGCATTAATAAACAGTAGAACCTTGTTCACCAAACCAAAGTATTCACTATTTATCAGATGATATATGTAAAAAAAATAATAAGTAGATAGTAGGAAATACACAAACAATTCTAAAAAAATATTCATTCAAGCAATAAATCGTAAATTGCTAAACTCATAACCTTTTCTCCTTTATAGTAAAAGTGTGATGTCAGGTCTGTTATGATTAACTGTTTTGTCTGTAATTATGTCTCTATTCCAATAAAGCTCGTCTAAGTGGTTTTCTAATACATTTTGTGGTTTGTATTCATAGTACGACTCTATCTGATCTATGAGTTTAAACTTTTTGGCTAACAACGAGTGTATCTGTTTAGCAACACATTATTATGCCTGTCGGTGTATTGTCGGCTGGATAAAAATGAGCAACCCCCAGTGATGTGATCAATTGATTCGCGAGATTTGTTGCATGCTCGGAATGTGTCCGATGAAATTGTGGGACTTTTAATAATATATTATTCATAGTTTTTTGTTTTTATTATTTGAATCGCTATCATGAATCCCTCAGTTTCTAAGAATATGTTTTCTTTCTTTAACCACATATTAGAATCTTCTTTATCTATATGATGCTGTTGTTGGTTCGGGTATTTTCCATGAAGCAGTTTTGATTTCCACATTTCAATTTTGAATTTTGTCCTCAGGATTAAAATCTGCATCGTTAAGGTATAGTTATATACCTACCAGAGGTTGAAATGGCGCAGATTGTAGATTATGTAATAGACCAGCGTTGTCCAACTTATCAGAGCCCGCGGGCCATATTTTCATCACCAAACATTTCGGGGACCAAGAAGATTTATAAATGTAAAAAGTAAAGTTTATGTTAATTAAAAAAATATTTTATTTATACTAAAGATAAAACTCTAAAATATTCGTAATTTATTAATGAGAACATTGTGANAGACTGAAGTAATGTTATCGTAATTGTTGGACGTGATTAAAAGTAAAGGGACGAATTAGAACTGTTTTAAAAAACTGTGCTTTTTATTCGTGAATTTGTGAACTTACAGTGTGAAGAAGGTGGCCTATAACCGTGATGACGATAAGGAGAATTGTCAGGGAAATGAGGTAGGAATTTTTAATAGTTTAATAAACGTCTATAACGATTAGCAAATTGACAAAGGTAAAATCAGGGCAGAAATCACAAGGATGTTATTTGCAGGGTTTGTAATAATCGGATTTTGCCCTTTATTATAATAATTTTTCAAGTTTCAACACGTATCTAATTATGATAAAATTTAAAAATATTAAAATCTGTTTTACTTCCTTTAATAATTTTATTTAGTCATTTTTAAATATCTATATAAGAAGTAATCAAAAGAAATATCCACAAATTACACTGTAATACATTACGTTAATTAGTACTGACTCTTTTTGTATTTATTTTAATGCTTAATACTTTGAAATTAAGTTTAGTTTCCCATGTCAAAAAATTAAGTACGAGTATTTGATGACATTTCCTTCATTTCGTTTTTTTTAATTGATGAATTTTAATTTATTCTAAAAAGGATTATTGCATTGATTATAAAAAGTCAGTTAGTCTTGCTATTATACGTTCATACGTTTTTGCAACAATTTTATTATTTCAGTTCATGAATATATTTTTAACACGCTTTTATTATTTATCCCCGGTATTCTCAGTTTTCACTGGTTAACTTTGAGCAAGTGGAGACGCGCTAATACCAAATAACGTCGCTCACATCTTTTGGGATACCATATGAAAACCAATTTTCTGTTCTTAAATTTTATAGAGTAACATCTATTAGGTAGGTTGTTTTAGTTTTTTTGATGGTCAGTGTGATGTCAGGTCTGTTATGATTAACAATTTTGTTTGTAATTATGACTGTATCCCAATAAAACTTGACTAAGTGGTTTTCTAATACATTTTGTGGTTTGTATTTATAGTACGACTCTATCTGATCTATAAGTTTAAAGTTTTTGGCTAACAGCGAATGTATCTGTTTGGCAACATTATTATGCCTGTCGGTGTATTGTCGGCTGGCTAAAAATGAGCAACCCCCAGTGATGTGGTCAATTGTTTCGCGAGATGTGTTGCATGCTCGGCATGTGTCCGATGAAATTGTGGGATTTTTAATAATATATTTTTGAATCGCTATCATGAATCCCTCAGTTTCTAAGAATATGTTTTCTTTCTTTAACCACATATATTAATATTAGAATCTTCTTTATCTATATGATGCTGTTGTTGGTTCGGGTATTTTCCATGAAGCAGTTTTGATTTCCACATTTCAATTTTGAATTTTGTCCTCAGGATTAAAATCTGCATCGTTAAGGTATAGTTATATACCTACCAGAGGTTGAAATGGCGCAGATTGTAGATTATGTAATAGACCAGCGTTGTCCAACTTATCAGAGCCCGCGGGCCATATTTTCATCACCAAACATTTCGGGGACCAAGAAGATTTATAAATGTAAAAAGTAAAGTTTATGTTAATTAAAAAAATATTTTATTTATACTAAAGATAAAACTCTAAAATATTCGTAATTTATTAATGAGAACATTGTGACCGTAACTGTTTAGCAACAATATCTTTTATGTCTTCATTAATATTTGTTCTGGCAAGTCTAATTATATCTTCAAGTGTAAAATATTTTAAACTGTTTCCATATTTAACTTTATATATTTCATATAGGAGTATGCACGCTCGAAGATATATGTACTTTCAAACATTGATACAATTTGAAGCCCAAAATCTCTCAATTTTGGATATTTCTCTTTATCCAAAAATTGTAATATTTCTATTCCAGTTACTCCACGAGGTGTAAAAAATGGGTCAGCCTGCAGGTCGCATAATTCTATTTGATATTTGACATCAACGGAGTTGATATCAATATTAATTGGATCATAAAATAAATCAATAGACGGTTTATGATCAACAAATTGAGAAAATCTTTCATTGAAATCTGTAATTAACATATCTAATTCTTTTGGTAGAAATATTTTAAAATCCGCATTTCTATTCCAGTTACTCCACGAGATGTAAAAAATGGGTCAGCCTGCAGGTCGCATAATTCTATTTGATATTTAAGATCAACGGAGTTGATATCAATATTAATTGGATCATAAAATAAATCAATAGACGGTTTATGATCATCAAATTGAGAAAATCTTTCATTGAAATCTGTAATTAACATATCTAATTTTGGTAGAAATATTTTAAAATCCGCTTCTATATTACATTCTTTCATTTCTTCATAGATCTCTTACTTTACATAGTAAAGTAATTTTAATAATATTAATTTAGTAACATAAATTTATTCATAGTAAAATGTACTCGCGGGCCGCCAGTTGGACTGCCCTGTAATAGACTATCAGCACCTGCTCTAAAATATGACCGCACATTAATAATCTGTAGTGTTGATTTTTAATATCAATTTATTATTATTGTTATTATTATTCTAACTAAAATAATTTGGAATTTGTATTACGGTTTACTAAAAAATTATTCATATAGTTCACTTACTAAGGACTAAAAAGAATATTATATTGTCACTACTATTTGCAACAATGTCTCACTTTCCTGTAACAATTTCTTATGCCACTAACCTGACGTTAACGGTTAACGTTAACGTTAGAACCTTGTCCATTGTTTTTATCTCTTTTTTGTAAATTGATATGTTTTATGTAGTTGTTTATTAATTCATAAAAGTTTACTGTGAGACTAACGTATAGTTGTTGTTGTTATTTTATCAGAGAAAAATGATAGCTAAATTTTTGTAATTCTGTTGTACAAAGAAATAAAAAAAAAACAAAACAAATTTCTAGAAAAAGGTATTTTATTAACAATATTTGGTAAAAAATATTATACTTAATGTTGACAGTCAGTATTCACCATATTTTAGTTTGAAGTATGGCGAGCTAATATTAATAATAACTTATGAAGTCAACAAAGGAACGAGAAAACTCATTTTTTACTACAATTGTCCAATTTAATTTAACCTATAAGTCCTCCTCCGGCACCACCAACGCCATAACCGCCACCGTGTCCACCTCTCAAACCGTATCCCTTTCCTAATCCAAAGCCTGTATTGATATTGTATCCTCCAATTCCGTTTCCTAGTCCATATCCACCAAAACCAGCCCCATATCCTCCCAATCCACCACCACTTATTCCATTGTGACCGTATCCTTTTCCTACCCCAATACCAGTGCCAATGTTATAACCGCCAACGCCTCCACCAAACCCAACTCCTCCATTTCCGGCCCCAAATCCACCATTTCCAGCACCAAATCCACCAACTTCATTTACTGATCCAAACCCTTTAAAATATCCTGCCCCCAAACCTGGTGCTCCCAGGCCACCTCCTATTCCAGTCCCATATCCGCCTAAACCGCCTCCTACTCCTATTCCGTATCCCCCAATTCCTTGCCCATATCCTCCATTCGCACTTCCTATTCCAGGCGCAAATCCTCCAACTGCACCACCTATTCCTGGCGCATATCCTCCTATTGCTGGGGCGAATCCACCAATCCCACCCCCTAAGCCTTGTCCATATCCACCAATCCCACCTGCTAATGCCGGCCCGTATCCACCAACTCCTTTTCCTAATCCAACGCCATAACCACCTACTCCACCTCCAAATCCTGCTCCATATCCACCTAGACCACTTCCAAATCCTGCTCCATATCCACCTAGACCACCTGCAATTCCTTGTCCATATCCACCTAGACCGGCTCCAATTCCTTGTCCATATCCACCTATACCACCTGCAATCCCTTGTCCATATCCACCTACACCACCTCCAATTCCTTGTCCATATCCATTCAAACCACCTCCAATTGCTTGACCTTTAACTCCATAACCTTTTACTACACCAAATCCAGGTGCTATCCCGATGCCGTGTGCATTGCCACCACCTAATCCATATCCTGCACCATAACCACCAATCCCGCCTCCCCATCCATATCCATTTCCAATTAGTCCGTAGTGTTTAAGGGAAGGCGCAGCCACTGCTTGTTTTTCAGCAGTGGCAGCTACTGGAACTGACTTTGCAGGATAATCGATTCGGGAAGCATGACTGAAGGCAACAGGCTGTTCTGATACCAACGGTACTTGATCTCCGTAGCCGGGTTTTGGGTCAGGCGCTCCGAACGCATTAATCGCAAGCAATAACAGTGATAGAAAGGCAATCATTATTTCCCGTTCCGGTCCCGATTTTGAATGTCACACTTCGAGAAAATGCTAGTACACTGATTCACGAAGACACTGTGATGTTTATAAAGGTTTCAATATTGCTTAACTTCCCCCAACTCTAACAAATTTCTTTATAGCGTTGGGTTTTTTGCGAAAACAAAGAAAACTATTTTTCTGCCTCGCTGATTTTAAGACAGGGTCAGCTATAGGAGGAAATACGATAACTTGTTGGTTCTTATTTGTTATTATTATCTATAAACATTATTCGTATTTTGTATATATATGTATATCACAATTCAATCAATGAATAATTATCAAAAGGCGATATCGCACATACGCAAATATTACTCGCAATCGCATATTTTTAGAGACACCAAAAAATTAGGTTGCGTTTTAACAACAACTTCTAGGACAAAGACTGCGTTATGAGCCAAGGTCTTGACTACTGGAGGTCATAACGTAAGCAAATTAACTAATAACAACCGATTCCTATTGTTCATAGAACTCGTGGGTACAAACAGAAGTGTTTCAGTACTCTAGATGACCATTTAAGATCATTCGTTAATTCTACAACGAATATCTATTATTTCGTATTGTGCGAACCTGTAGACAAAGACGTGGTTTGCTTCTTGTGTTATAAGTAACATCTATTATCCATTTTTTCATTAAACAATACTGGCAATGAATGTGCAGTAACTCAGTTCATTTTATTAACAAAGAGTGGAAAACGTTTTATTGCACGATTTTAAAATTACAGAGAAAGTGAATCGAAAATCGTTAATTTAAAAATAAAACACTTTTATTACAGCACATCTGAACTTCCTGTGTTTGATGGTTACTTCGAGCACTTTCTACATTTTTTTCTTTATCGTGACATATTTCAATGCGTATATAATTTAAGGTAACGATATTGAATCATGTTTAGAAGTTTAACTTAAAAGATGTATTGGTACCTGCACCTACTTATATTTTTCGTTTCTTCTTTTTCTAGCGGAAATATGGTCTTAAATTACAAAATTCGTAGCGGAAATCCGTTTATAAGTAGAGCTATGCAACATTTATACAGTAGCACGGGGATAGTTGTATATGTACATATGTGTTCATAATCATAATCATCATTAGGTCGTCAGTCCTAAGCCTGGTTGGAGACGCACCTCTACTCTTTCCTATCCTCTAATCTAATCTGAGCTAATCTTCGCATTTTCCTAAAACTAGAACAACCCATATTCTTAACTATTTGAGAACAGTAATCTAAACTACGTCTACCTCTAACCCTCCTAACTTCCGTTTCTGCTTCTAATATGTCTCTAACTAGCCCTTCATGCCTGAGAAGGTGTTCTACTAATCCATCTCGCCTATTTCTTATTGACTTCCATAGAGTCCTCTGTTCTCTTACTTTTTCTAATATCTCTTCATTTCTAACCTTCTTTATCCACGGTATCCTCATTCACATGTAATACCACATTTCGAACTCTTCTAATAATTTCTTTCCACTTTCCACTGTACATGTTTCGCACCCATACAGCACTCCAAACATACACCTTTAACAACCTTTTTCGAATTTATAAATTAACCGTTCGCGAGTATAGAAGTGACTTCTTTTTATTGAAGGCGATTCGATCCTGCGCTATCCTCTGCTTTATATCCCTAACACTCCTTCCGTCCTGACTTATTCTGGCTTCCTAGATACCTAAAATCGGTCACTTCTTCTAGTTTTTCGTCTCCTATCTTTATATTCGCTCTTTCCCTACTTTTCCTTCCCTTGCATACCAGTATTTTTGTTTTACTTTTACTGATTTTCAAGCAGTACTGTTTTGTCAATACCGCTTCCATTTAATTTAAAGCTATCTCTAACTCCTCCTTGCTAGATGCTATTACTGCTATACCATTTGCAAATCTAAGTATACTAATCTTTTGCCCCTGTATATCTATCCTTACAGTTGTACTGTCTTTGATGATGTTGTCCCTATCTGTTTCCCTTCCTAATATTTACTTCTCTACGTTGCAGCCCCATCTCTATAATTGCCTGTTGCTCTTTATACATATGTGTTATTACCCTAAAAAATGTATTATTGCCCTTAAAAAAAAACGATTCGTGCAGAGAATTAAAACTAAAAAACAAAAACATTGGGTGTTTCATCTCTAGCAGCTGCTAATGCAAGTCTAAGTAACCTAAGGAAATGAGAAAGAAACTTGGGTCACTGCAAATGGATCCAGAATCGAGTCGGTCATTCCGATAGTCTAAGCCTTTAGGCGAGAGGTCAGCAAGTAGTTTTAGGTGGAGTCCGGATGTTTTTGAAAATTTTTATCAAGGTCCAGGCTCTTAAAGCTCAGACATAATTTGTTATCTACAAAAAAAAATTTTTAAATAGTTAACTTACTTTCCAAAAATTTTTGGCTGCCCAGTTTTTAACCTTCCGCTGTCCGGGCCTGGAGCCTTGATATACAATTGAAAATTGCATGTTTAAACAAAAGAGCATAATTTTTTGTCATTTTTTTATAACTATAAACTTATGCTTCTTATTTTTAATTCTTAATAATTGCTTTCAGTTTTTTCTGTTTACTTTTGATTATGTTAGTTTATTTACACAATTGATATTGTAGTGGCTACAGTCAGTTGGTCGTCATGATTTCATGAAAACATGACGGTGTATACAAATTCACCCCTTATTATTAGAAAGCAACTTTAAATCCAAAACATTAACGGTAGGTATAATTTACAATGAATGTCACCTAATTTTAGAGGTATGTAAAATGTTTTCAAAAGTTAGTATGAAAACAAAATGCAAAATAAGTGAATCTGCAATGTTGATAAATGCCTATAATGAAGGTTGAAACGTCGGTTGTTGATTTAAAAAATAAAACAATTTTTCATCCCAGTTAATAAGTTGTATTCTAAATTAACAGTCAAATCTTATCTTCATGTAAGCATATGACCTTTTTGTTGAATTAGGCCTAGCGTACACTGCAATTTTTCAGTCGCTGCGACTGAAAAGTCGCGATCGTAGGAAATAGAACCCTTGATGTTTTTATTTATTTGCAGTACCAGTCACATATAAATAATGTGTATCGTGGAATTGTTAAATACTAATAATACTAAAAGGAAGCAGAGGAAACAATATTGGTTCCTTTCCATCATAAATCAGAAATTAGTAAAACGGCAATTTTTTTCTTTTCGATTTCGGATATAAATTTTTCCGTATCCAAAACGCTATGTGACGTTTATTCTTATTTTGCAACAGAGGACTCATAATATGACATATTTGATGACCTAAATGTATTCTTTAATTATGCACAAAACAACAGACAATCATCAGTGGGTTGCGACAGTTTAGTTGCAAGTGTTCGCGGGTTCATTGCTGCCCGTACGATTCATTCTAGATCCGCGACAATCGCGCAGCAAGAAAAATAGAACAGGTTGCGATTTTTTAATCTCAGCAATTATTTAGTCGCATATGTGTGCATTTTACATTTACATTATTACGACTAAATAATCGCGCGATTAAAAAATCGCAGTGCGCGGTAGGCCTTACTCCAGTTATAGCACACCTTAGTCTATTTGCGTAACTAAATATGTATGTAGAAATGACAAAACATGATACAATTCACCTTATAAAACACCAAAACCAGACAATTTTTCCACCAAGTTCGTCATATTATTATACAATACGTTATACCGAATGATTATAAGTATTATTAATGGAGTCACGAATCAATAGACATACGTAATATAAATCTTGTTTAGGTAAACCTTTAAGTTAATTTCTGTACAATCAAGCATGATATGGAAAACAATGAACGCAAATGAGCAAAAAATGTCATTCAAACCATCTGATTTTTGATTCTGTGGTTATTATAATTAGCTGTTTTATAATAATACTGAAAGAATTCATTAGGTTTGACAATGAATTCATAAAACACCACAATATTGTTGTTCACTTTCTTTGTAACTATTAATAATTTTCACTAAGTCTTGATGTTTGTTTTCATTTCTTAAAAGCATACATATTTACCATCCTGAGAAAATTATCTTTTCAATAAGTACCTATGTAGCTAATATGAATTTACAATGCGTAAAATAAATGCATTCTAGGCTACCTATAATAATAGTAAAACTCGGTTATAGCGTACTCTAGGAGAATATACAGAGGTTGTCAATACTGATAACAAATAAAACAATTGTGAATAAGAGGTACATTATAGGTTATTATTTCTTAATGTTTCTTATTACAAGGAAGTCTTATTTTGGAAATATCTATATAATTAAGTTAACAACTCTGTGAAATTACACACTGCTGGTATGTCCTTGTAATATAACTTCAGATTATACTTATATACTATTCAAATTTTAAGAAATTGCTCCTCGACATTCGCTTTTTGTAATGATTTGACCGTGGCCTCCAATAACCTTGTCTTGATCTCTCCTCTCAGTCGCTGTTGTTGAATCATTTACAAGAGAAGAAAGTGTCATTGTTTCAAAAGTACTTAAATAGTTGTGTCTGTGAAATTATGAATTTGATTTACAATTAGTTTAGTACTTAATCACTTTTATTTTAATAATATTCTTTATATACCTACCAAAAAAAATACGTAATCAATAGTGATATTAAATTTCAGTCCCATTTAAAATTGCTAGTTTTTATGTTATTAGAGGAAAATAGCTTAATTTTTGATGCTTTTCCTTATTTAACTTCTTGTGTATGAATATGAAACATATTTTAATGATTCTTTTTTACCCAGAATATGCCATTACTTCAATAAGGGTTCTTTAAATTGGATACCCTATCCAGAATTGAGAATCCCTATATTTAAACGCCAAAATCACTTACATTCACTTTATTTTTATCACTAATTGATAAATTTTCCCATGTTGTTTTAGCATTATCTCTATGGAACCCTCGTTAAATATAAATTTTGAAAATGTACATATTACTCTTAGTTACTTTTCTGTACTCTTGAAGATGACCGAGTAGGTCGAAACGTCCAATTGTTTTCTATTTATATTATTGTTGAAACATTCTTGTTATTCTTATTTT